TATGAGTCGTCCGCCTGTTTCTAACAAACAGGGGCTCTCAACCACTACTCTTGCTAGGTTAACAAATTATGAGTTAAAAGCCAACAACATTGGCAATAAAGGGAAACAACCGGTACCCGCCGCTTGTTATCTCTACTTCTCAATTCCTTGGCGACTAGGTAATACTCTATTTACTTGGTCAGACCACTTTCCTACTTGGTTAAATTTACAAATGACAGGTCCGCCTGCCTAAAAAGGATCCAGACAAAATAGTTCGAATACCGATTGGATAAATGGCCGACTGATCGTCTACCCTGGAAACAGACAACCAGTCGTCCAGGGGCATAGGCGGCGTACTAACTATCCGTACCTGTCTGCAACGTTCGGCCATGTAAAATAAGCCGGTCTAGTAAACAGTTGGATATTAGATATGGAATACTTAGACAAATTTGAAGCAAAACAAAAATTCATTAAAAATAAGCCGGTCATTAAAGACCAGCAAAATATTCAAAGCCCCGGCCCCCTGGCCGGGTAAATACAAAACAAACGGCACGCAGGCCGTGGAAAGAATACATTAAGCTTAAGAAGGGGGCAGTTCAGTATTAGCAGCTGCCGCCTGGTCAGCACTCTTCTTGCTGGACTCGGCTTCAGCTGCATCCTTTTTTGATGCCTCACCCCCAAGTGGCACAAGCGCCACAACCGGCTCCTCCTCCTCCAACGCTTCTCCCAACGCCTCTTCTTCAGCAGCCGCCAGGATCTCTTGATTATATGTTTCCGAACACTGGCGGTACGTTCTTTCCCAAGAGGCAAAGTCGGCATTGGGGAACAGGCGGCCCCAGGTCATGCGCTGGATTTGAGCGGAGTCTTCCATCATCTCCCGGACGAGCTCTTTCTTCTCTTGCTCGGCCTTTTCCGAGAGCTCTTGGGTAAGACTCTTCTCTTGGCTCACCAGGCGTTCTTTTACGCTTGCCAAGGATTTCTCCATGGCTTCGTAAGAGTACATTTTTAGGCGAAGAGGTTTCAGCTCGGCCTTAAGATTTGTGATGGTCGCCTCCAGCTCGTCATTCTTCTTCTGGGCCGCCTCTAACTGAGCCCGAACAGCGGCGGTAGCCTGCGCCTGATAATAAAGAATATCAATGGTCAGTACTTCATTTTGGGCAATTTGAAACATTGCCTTATCACAGTCAGAGGCGGCCATAGCTTTTGCAGCCTTTACCTCTTTGTTCTTCCGATCAAGCGGCTTGCGAAGGCCGTTAACTCGAAGCAGGGCCTAAGTACAAAAAAAAAAAAAAAAAAAAAAAAAAAAAACAGGCGTCAGTTTCCAAACAAAAAAGATAACAGGCGTCCTGGAATTCAAATACTCAAAAAGTATACCTCAGCAAGGACCCCTGCAATCCCATCAAGGTCAAGGGTGCCGACACCCCTGACCGCCTCCCTTTCAGATGGAGGAACTACTTTGATCATGGACTTGGCTACCTCTACCAAGTCAGGCCCCTGAGGGCCGGCTGCATCAAGCGTAAAAAAGCAAGTTAGACCTAATCAAGAAGGAAGCAAGTGTAAAAGTTTTTACAAGTAATTGTCCATACTTCTAGGCGGCCCCGCCGGAGTCTTAGAAGAAGTGGCCGGCTGCTTCTCAGCCGCCACTGTTTTCCTGGAAGACCCAGGAGAGCTTGCAACAGTCGTCCTCCGGGCCTTGGGGTCCGGCTGTTGCGAGGAAGAAGCTCTTGGAGTGCCCGACTGAAAAAAAAAAAAAACAACATGGCAGTTAGTATATGCATAAGACAACTCCTAAAAGAGGAAGTTTCGAAGCCTACCAAGGGTGCCCCCTTGTTGGGGGAGTCGGTACAAGACTGTTGCATGAGAGAGGCCCGCAACATGGCCGCCGCAGTCTTGGATGCTGTTATTTTACTCATGGCGTCAGCTGCAAATAATAAACAGCAAAGTTAGTAAAAATCCCAAGTAAACAAGGCGTGAAAAAACAGAGTATTTGTCAGGCCGGCTACCTCTAGAGCACCGACTGCTGAGGCCACAGGCGGCCAAAAAGTACTCGTCATAGAGCCACTTGAAGCTCGGGACGCAGTTTAGGGGTACTTGCTCTCGTACCCCTGAAGTAGAGTTCACCCTAGTCTCTACTTTGAAGAGTCCTTTGTCTAGGATCTCTTTTTTAGCCTTTGGGGGAACAGGCGGCATGCTGCGGCCGCCTGCGAGAAGAGGCGGATCCCTATTCCACTTGTTAAAGCGTTTGTTCATCTCCGTGTCTGAACCCTCGATGATAAGGAAGGTGTTCCGCCAATCCTTCCATTTGTTCGCCTTACCTCTCGTCATGAGGTAGCCCCTATGGCTTGTTAATTGATACCAGCCGGTACCTCCCGACTTAGGGGTCCGGCTGAGATAGTTCATGTGGGCGAAAGCCTCAAAGCTTGGCTCCACCCCGTACATTTCGCACCCGGCCACATAGCCGAGTACGTTTACCCAAGAGTTGGGGGCTAACTGCCATAACCCCAAATCATACCCATCTAAAATCCGCTGAACAGCCGGATGTAATGGGAAGCGCAGTCCAGCTTTGATGGCCGCCACATAGCAGCCAAAGCAGTCGTCATCATAGCTGGTACCAGCCGGCCAGACGACAGTGTCTTCTGGATCCGGCACAAACACTAGAAAGTCGGGGCCCATTCTGTGGTTAGCTATAAAGCTCTCCACTTTGTCTTGCATGGCTGCGATCCGGCCCCGGGGTACCGTGCAGTAGTAGGGGGTGTTTTCCTCTCTGTAAGAGGCGGACGGCTCCGCCCAATTGCCCCCCTTCTCAACTGCATGAGAAAGCCTCGCCTCTTGTAGGCGGCTGTTTCTTTCTTCTGAGCCTGGAGAAGCGTGGCCAGAAGAGCTGGACTCGGACTCGTCCTCTGACGAGTCCGAAGAGGACGACTCCTCCCCTCTCCCAGAGGGGCCCGCCTCCTCTCCCTTAGAAGGAGCAGGAGGAAAATTAGACATATCAACGGTGAAATGGGAAGGGACCACCTTGACCCCTCCCTCAGAACTGTCGGCTTGGCAGCCGCCTCGTTTCACTTCTACATCTGGCGCCTGGTCAGATGTTTCACTAATGAGCATCCTTTGGGAGGAGCCGTCCGAGTTTGAGATCATAGCAGTCTTTTTTGTTCTGGCCATCACGTTCTGCATAGACACAGATACAGTCGGACTTTGTATACAGGGCAAAGATGGGTCCAGAAAAGGGCAGGCGGCACTCCTAGTCCTAGATTCAGCCGTCCCCGGTGACCGGCTGATCACTAACTTAGGTCGTGTCGTGTGCTTCCGTGGTGCCATTTCAAAAAATAAAAAGAAAAATTAAGAGTAAGAGAACTGACAGTTACCTGAACGAGTGACGGTTAATGAAGTTCTGAAAATCCTGTGCAGTCGGCTTGTCAGAACAGGCGGTAGGCAGAAAAGGTCCGAAATGTCAGAGCAAGTTCAGGGGTCCGAATGTTCTCGCAATGTTCTCAAATGTGAAAATGACCGAAGTCAGCACTTCCTTATATAGGCAAAGTGAGAAGGCGAAGGGTCGCTTCCAAATTCAAAATTTGGGCGGGAAAATCTCTCGGCCATTTGCAAGGTGACACCTGTAGCAGGCCGTCGCCTGTCACCGTGCGGCACCTGTCACAGGTGACACGTGACCAGTCACGTGCCACCTGTGAGGGGCAAATGATTAGGGGATTTTTATCCACCAATCACCGTCTGACAAGTGGACCAACCAGGTTCCGCCACGTGTCCTTCACGTAGGCCAATAGGAGCCTGCCACGTGTCAATCACAGATACGTCCTCTACGGACCAATTGAGACACGCCACGTGTCCACCCATGCCAAATGGGAAAACCGGCCAACAAGGCCCAATCCTGTTTAGAGCCCGGTCAGCCCTAGGTTTACCCTAAACCTAGAGAGTGGCACGCTTCTCAAGACTATAAATACTTAATTAATCCTCATTAAAGGGGATTGAGCAATTAATGACTCTCACCTAGAGAAGTCTAAACACATTGATCACTCCTCCCCTAGAGGAACCAGATCTCCCCCCTTTAATTTCCGCACTTATTACTCCTTAATCAAGTACTAACTTGACCGTTGGAGGCGGAGCTCCCAGGAGTCTCCGTTATTTTGCAGGTACAGGCGTCCGGTTCCAGTCTCGGAATTGTAACTCTCCCGCAAGACATCAGAAAACCCCGAAACAATAAACATTACTCCGCAAACAATAAGGCTTGAGTTTCAAATGATTTAAAATTGACTCACATGAATCACCATAAGAAATTGTCTGATATATAAATGTGAGTGTGACTATTATTAATATGTGACGACCATTATTTTTAGCTGCAAGGATTAAGGAATGAGCAATGCCAATGTACATAAAGTATAGTACATTATAAAACAAAGTATATGGAATAAATTAAGATGATTTATTGGTACAGGAGTAGTTAGTCAAATATTCAAATTGCTAATACATACATGCCGAATAACGTACGAGTAATAGCTAGAGTGAAATTCAAATATCTTAATAATAAAATTAAAAAGTGAATATTATTAATATGGTATACTTCCGACCCACTCCTTGCGTGTGTATCTTGATACTAGTAAATTACGGAGTTGTAAATAACTAAAGACATTTAATGGAGGTTTTATGTTTTAATTGCACGTGTTAATTAGACTTCATATATCCGCTATTAAAGCATTATCTTGTTTATGCTAAAAGGACGTTTTTCTTTATCTACCCATTTTTGTAAGGAAGCAATCCCTAAACAGATAGAATTATTCCTCGTTACCCTTAAAACGGGGTCATTAGTACTTGATTAATAGTAAGTCAATGTTTCTATAAAACCTGTATAAATATTAGAAGAAGGTGATTTTTCATTATAAAACAAAGAGACAATTAATTTAATTTATTAAAGTAACCGTGATATTAAATTACGAGTAATAAAGTAATTATAAGTATAACATAATATTTTGTATTTATAAATTAAAGCTATTATACTAGAGAGAAGAATTGAAGAAGTTATAATTGATCAATTGCATAAATCTTATAACACAGTACAATGCATATCTCCCTTAAATCAACCCTTACTATTTTGCATAAGAATTTCATTATTACAAGGATTGCAACTAACATCAACCTTACAAATTAACAACAATTTTTAAAATTAAATCGAACATGAATAATCAAACCTTAGTACGGATTCACAACTTGACAAGAACCCAATAAATCACAAATTAAACCCAATAATCATCCTACTTAAAGAGGTAAAGTACTTAAATGAATTAATTAGGGCGACGACAATACTTCCTAACTTCACCATTAGACCCTAAGAGAGGGCTAATCTTTCCCATCTTAACCATGGACTTAGCAAATTGATCAAAGAACAACCCTTCATCTTCAGCATAAGACTTGACCAATTGAGCTAAATTCGCGTAATTTCCTGAATAAAGTTGTTGATCTGTAAACAAAAGTCCCCTGCCTCCCAAGATGAGTTTATAGTAAGTGTTATCAAAGGTCTTTGGAGATGCATAATCCAATGGAGTTATGTTGTTGTCACCCCCTGATGAAGGACAAACTGACTTCAATTCATTTAAGTAAGCCTTTTCGAGGCTCAAATCTGGTTGTTGATTGTTACCATTTTGGCTATACAACCTTTGCTTAAAACTTGTACACCTCGCCACCCCAATAGTATGTGCTCCTAGTGAATTTAAGAGGAGACCAAATTTTAAGTAACTGTGAAGATTATCTGTGGACAGAGGGAGTATGATTATTTGTAGATGTGAAGCTCTTACCTGAGAGCGCGACAAGATCAACTTCATCTAGGCCTTGTTGTTGAAATGATGCAATAAGCTTTTGGGCTGTAAGAATAGGAGGAGGAATTGTTGCATTTGCAAGTAGCATATTTGCTGCTTTTGAGTCCCTTCTTCCTAATGGGACTTCCCAATTAGGTCCTCCACTCTGTTGATCCAAAGTCGATTATTTTTTTATAAGTTCATGAAATATAACATACCATATGAACTTAAAAGGTACATTTAGCTTGTTCTAAGGCATATTGTTTGTACTGTTAATTTTACAAGGAAGGGGCTTACCAAGACACTGGCGGCGCGAGCTACCAAGGCCAAGATATCAGCACAAGAGACAGTTTCAGGGCATGCTTCTTCTAACCTGGCTTTAATTTCATCAATGACAGTAAAACCTCTCAAGGAATTAAGATTTGGTTTAGCCTTTTTCTCACTTACAAATGTCGCGCTATCATCTAGCAGTATAGAAGCATCACACCCCTGTAGTAAACAAGTTCACAACCATATTACTTACATCGATCATACACTACAAAAAATAACTTATTAACCAACAAAAAAAAATGTAAAAACCTGAACAAAGCAGTCATGAAAATGAAGCCTAAGCAAAGAAGCAGCCATCCGAGGGTCTTGTGCAACAGCATTCTCTAAGACCGAAGCAATAATGTTGTTAGCTTGAGGGCAAGAGAAGTCATAGAAGTACGGAGACAACGAGCTATAGTCGTTCCCACCACCACTACCCCATCCAAAGCCGTACCCATAGCTATAACCCGGGTCTGCTTGAGCAACCATAAAAGGCGGTATCAATGAAAGGAAAGCCAAAAACACTAGGTGCATTTTTGTAGCCATAAGTGTTGATCAAACTCTACTAAGATTTTTGAGTTTGGAATTGTTGATTCTAAGGGTACAAAGTTGGTTGATATTTATAGACTAAAAATGTGGTGAAATTTATGAAGAAACAACTAACCACTAAACTCAAGATTTCCTAATTTGATACATGACTTTGTTTATATGACTATATCAAAGTGGTTCCTCTGCTCCATTTAGGGTACTAATGTTAGTGCTCTAGTTTTACCTGCTCTAGGAAACATTTTTGGAAGTATTACGACATTATATAAATTATACACTAAAGTTAGTATCTTTGATTCCAATTTCCTAACCTTTTCTCTTTGCTTAATTAATTTAGTTTAACTTGCCTAGATTACTAGTATAGTAGTATGTAATTTCTTTGTTAGGGATTAGTTTGGTTTCAAGCCCCTTAATAACATGAATTACAAGAATATCCTTCAAAATAATTGCATTCAATATGTTTTTATCCTTTATATTACATGAGATTTTTTTTTAATTTAGTTCAGTTTGTGACATGAAAGATTCATATTTTCAACCGAGAGGTGATAATTTTTTCGGACATCTTTTTATTGTACACGTGTTGATAAATTTGATAGGGTCAAATTGTTTTCAGTGTAGTAAGGCGATGATTGATTCATATTTTCTATGTCGATTATAAAACTACAAATTATGTCATTATGTGATGAGGGTTATGCACATAAGATAATTATATGAGCCCTTCAAGTAGTAAGAAGCAAATTATAAGAACAAAAGACCCTAAAAAAGCTTTTGACTTTATTATTTTTATTTTATTTGTAAAGTCATTTCCGCGTTTTTAAAAGTGCAAATAGTTTGTTTTCATTGCAGCAATAATAATTAGGGAGTTGCATGTAACAGAATACCTATGAAAAAAAAAATGTAACAGAATAAATTGCTTTAGAGTTAAGGCAACATAATCTTCTTTAAAATAAATGACAACACAAATTAAGTAAAAAGTAGCCTATTATTGGGTTAGCTCAATATTCTAGGCTATAAATTTATAAAGTAGTAGCTGGAATGTTAGGATAAGATAATGATTGCTTGATTATTGCATAATTAGTGGACTACTTTCACCTGCTCTAGTGATGTGATTAGTGAACTGATTATGAGGCTACTACTTTTGAACTTTGATCTTAGTTTAGCCAAAGACAACCATATAGAATCATAATTCATCAAGTTCGATCACTAAGGTCTTGGGTTAATGGTTAAATATGAAGATACGGGATATAATTCCATATAGCTTCACAATATTGTCAACATATGGAAGTATTTTTAACTCAATCCAAGACGGTTGCATTTAATTTGGGTTGTTTTTAGGAAATGAAGAGATTTGTATTACCATATAGTCCATATTCAATACTAGCAAGTAGCTATATCGAGGAGTGTGTTCGCATAAATTAATCATTGAGTGAAGTTGATCAATTTACCAGATTGGGAGGTTTTCTTCATGCAATGTTATAGAGAAGCCAACCGAGTTGTGGTGTGTATTAGGTTGAGAAGCTTATTAGTTATTAGCATTACTCATGCATCATGCTCAATCTTTACAAGAGATTTGAAAGGAAAACTCGTCATTCTTCCTCTTTTGAGCCAAACTAAAAGGATGAAACTTGTTGAATGTTAAGAGTTGGAAAGTCAATTGCTACTATACGTGCATGATAAAGCAGCAACTTTACACGAAACAAGCTAATCATATAATGCATGCATAGCCTTTAATCAAGGGAGCAAAACAATTGGTTAGAAAAAGTCAAGTATAAGAAATTGTATACATCATAATGGGCACGATATGGACTAATGAAGTAGTGGCGGATCCAAAAAAAATATTTATGAGAGGATCAAGAAATAATATGTAGTATACGCCAGAAATTCAATTAAGTCATATGGAGTACGAATTTACTTTTGTGCCCTCGCGGACAATTTACACATGTACAGGGTATCACTTCTCAGTCAAGTGTTAACAACTTTCAAGTTTTCAACCCCATGTATGTCATCTCACATGGCTAGATTATCTAAATAGCATAGCAAAATCCCACAAAAGCTTTCACAAGTAACTGATCGTTGAAATTTGCTTCACAAGTAAACTTCTAGTGCGCGTTATTCAACAACAATCTTTGATTCTCCAGAGTTACCAAGTGATATCATGCAGCAAAACATACAAGAACCACTTAATAATACAAACAATAATAGAGCAACAAAGTCTAAGGGGGGACCAAAGTTGGTTAAAAAGGTATGATTCAGTAATAATAATGTGAGAGATTTGTGCACGAGCCAGCGACAGTTTTGAGAGGGATTAGTTACTAACAGTTGGCTTAGTATTGATTAGAAGCGTGATTGTATGGTATTATGTACACTACAGATGAACTATGTACAGATAGTAAGATACACAAGCTCTTGAGTCTTGATCTAAAGTGTCGAAATGTAGCATCACAGTATTCACAGCTTCTGTTTAACAAAATATTCCTGAAATCATTGTGTACAATCTGGCAGGCCGTGTATTTGCTGAATCTAAAGTGATGCAACCAATTGTCTCATCGGTGTAAGGAGTCTTGCTAAGCGAAGTGGTACATGTGCTTTGACCAATGTTCCATTCTCTGTATAATCCTGAAAGTAGAGGGCATGTATAAGAGATTGTGACTCTTGAACAGCATTTGTTTACTTTGAATCTGATGTTAACAGTTGGTAAAATAAGAGAAGGAAATGATTCAGTTATATACATGCATCGACAGGAGACACGGTTGTTGAGCAGCATATATGGTAACTTCCCAGGAAAAAAAAGTTTAAAATGGATGATTAAGCAGTTCATACAGACTCAAACATTCAAGCATGGGTGGCAAACAAGTCATTTGGATCAAACTTGGTTCCACAAACATTCAAGCAATGCATCATTTGGTTCAAACTTGGGTTGGTTCAGGACTATGGTCATAGCTTATTATGAAATTACAAATTATTTTTCGGGTTGGGTTAATTTTAGATTCAAATCAAACCATAGACAATGTGTTATGAGGTACAGGTTAGAATGGGTGAGGGTGATTCGAATCATGTATTAATAAACGTGTCAATTTCAACAACTCTGCTCAAGATTGCAGGACAATATGTGTAACAAGGAATGTCCAGTTCAATTCATAGTGTTATTTCAAATAGCCAAATTTTACAGCAACCACCAGTTAATATACATAGTATTATTTAGGTAAGTTGGGATGTAAATCTTGCAACTGGTTTAGGAAATTTCTATCTGAAATGCGCGCGCGCACACACACACACCAAAAAAAAAAGAAAAAAAAAAAAAAAAAAAAAAAAAAGAACACCAACTAACCAATCCCGGTTAGAGGCAAAGGAGAGATTAACTCACAGTTCTTTCTACCATTCCAATTTGATGTATGCTACTGAGAAGTTCTCCTTTGTCAAAAGGAACCAGTGCTTCAACCCACACCATAGAATCCTGTCACAGAAATACGATCTGGTTAAAGCAAAGCATTGAAGTTGTGAATAGAACTTAGTACATATATTTTGGAATCAGAATTAGAAGGTATGATAGCATGCATTGGCATTACACAGTATAGATATAGAAGCTACCTTCAGCTTTTCCTGAATGGCGTTGCAAAATTCATCAAGTCCATCACCATTCAAAGCAGATAAACAGACAACATTGCCTCGTCTCTTTGCTTCTGCCTTAATTTTCTCTGGATCACTCACCTTATCAACCTGACATGAGCAGTAAATTAAGTTATACTGCAAATAGAGCCTAAGATTACATTCACCTTCTTAGAAATAAAACTTCAAGCTAGTAATTATGAAATGGAAAGTTCAAACTGTATTGGTTCATATGAATATATTAGGAGGCTAGTATGTTACTGACAGCCTTTCATTAAGAATGTTCTATAACAATAATTTAGATCGCTGCATCTCTCCTAAGGATATATGGACTTGAGAAGAGAAATTTGCAGCATATTTTCGGATTCTAAAGTGCTTATCTCAATCAATACCTTGTTCCAAATAATTAACATCGGAATTAGTGACACATCCAATTCTGACAGAACTTTATCCACAGCATCAATTTGTTGCTCGGCTAAAGGGTGACTGAAATCAGAAGCATCCGAATGAGATGATGAGGGAAAGACGAATTAAATCCAAACCTGAGTGTCAATTAATAGTTAATACCTAATGTCCACCACATGCACTAGAAGTGATGATTCAGATATTTCCTCCAATGTGGCTCTGAAGGCAGCAACCTGCAACAAACAGCTTAGAGAATTTAATCAAACTAACCAAAGTTCAAATACATCACACTGCTGGAAGAGGATTTACCAGCGTAGTTGGTAGCTTTTGAATGAATCCGACAGTATCAGTTAAGAGAAACTCCTTCCCATTCTTCATCTAAAAACAAGAAAAGGATATTACATCACAGAAAGTCAACATAAGATAAGATTTCACTTTCATTCACTAAAAACCGCAATAAGCTCTAAACAATGCACTTTTTCTGAAATAATTATCTCAAGAAAACTATTTAGCTAGAGTTTTCCATCTTCAAACAACTGAAAAAAAATGAGGACTTGATGTTCATTGCAACTTTGGTAGTGACATGAAGTAAACTAACCAAACTACAATATGCTGAATTTAGATAATTAGTAAACGTGCAAACTTCTAATTGACATTTTTTGCTCAGATAAAAGAAGAAGATAAATGGGAAGGGAAAATCCCTAGATCTAACACACTCACCTGCACCCTTCTGGTTGTTGGATCAAGTGTAGCAAACAATCGATCCTCGGCAAGCACGTTTGCACCAGTCAATTGATTTAACAACGTACTCTTTCCAGCATTTGTATATCCTACCTTAGTTTTTCAATAAATGCAAGTTTCATCATTATCACTGAACAGAGATATTCAGAATTAAATACTAATACAATTGTTTCAAGGTAAGCATCAACTTACTAAAGATACAACTGGAATAGGCACTGAAACACGACGATTGCGATACAGCTTTTGATGGCGCCTAACAGATTCCAGCTCTTTTTTCAGAACACCAATCTACCAGGAAATGATCACCAGAAAGAAAATTAAAGTATATGGTTAGCAACTCAGCATCCAGACAAAACAGATGATAGAAGTGAAAAAAATGAATAAAAAGAACAAGAACAAGAAGCATTGACAATTTATTAAGCCTTTTCTTGTTATAAACATCAACGGAATTTTTGTCCACTGATCCAAAGCTAGATGAAAGAAAGAGTAATACACTTATAATCGTATAATCATGTAATTTACTATATAAAGGAGGTACTATGGAGAATGAAATTGGTTGTTCTAGCCTTCTAGGTGGTCATGGGAATAAATGTACCTTTAAGTCTTGAACATTTAGGTGGAACATTTACACCAAATTACACGCAAAATTCACTGCCATCTTTTCAGTTTTTATTTGCACTAAATGAATTGCAAATTAATTACTTGAAGCAAAAGGGCAAAAGTGACTCAAAAGGCCAGACTAGAAGTTCCTCTCACACAACCATTAAAAGATAAACTCTTCAGAAGTGGTCATTAAAATCCCACTTACTTGATCTCGTAGAATACGCTTGTCCACTTCAATTTGTTTCTCACCCATACCTTTCACCCTCCCTCCTGCTTGACGTTCTAAATGACTCCACATTCTTGTCAGCCGTGGTAATTGATATTCCATTTGAGCCAGTGCAACCTTAGAGTGAAGCATTGAAGTTTTCCTCATCAGCACAGATTCCCATATAATTTCTTTTCATACTTAAGAATAGTAAAATATATACCTGTAAAGCAGCTTCATGAGTCGCTGCCCTCTGGTTGAAAATATCCAGAATAAGTGCAGTCCTATCACAGACTCTAACATCTTTTCCAAATACTTTCTCCAAATTACGCAATTGCCTGCAATAGGTTCACATTCAGGACCAAGTACCTCTGTAAGACTGTAACTACAAAGACCACAATACCAACAACGTTTATTCTCACCATGATATTACAATTACAAATGTTTTTTTAAATAGAAAGAAATTAAGTCAATAAGAATCCAACTCTCAATAAACTCCGACAATTGGTAAAGATAAGTTAGAAATGTGCCATCCATTGTAGCTTAGTAATCCAACCTTATATACAGAGATTAGGAGATCGATGCAGTAACGAGGTAAGAGTATTCTGACAGAATACTTTTGCTAGTTATTACCATTTATAAGTACCCTCATGTTCCTTAGAGACCTTCAATGGCAAATTTACAAGTTCATATGCATATGATGTATCTCACAATCAACTGTAAACTTATATGAATAGATGTCGATAGCTAGACAACACACGTACACCAATTGTCAATTCCTTAAATAAAAAAAATTCATTCTTACCCTGGTGAAAGCTCATCATCAAATATCACTGTTTCAACATCAAATGCATGAATTGCACTCTTGATCTCAGAAACCTTGCCTGAGCCAATATATGTTCTTGGATTTGGAGCAGCAAGCCTAATTCATACAGCAGGTATTGATGTTATTTAACCTGCAGGCCAGCAGTTCTCACAAAATAACAGTAAAGAAAATATGTATTTGATAGAAGATGTATGTGAACTAAATAAAAGTTGAACACATGAGTACATGAAAACTTATATGTCATTCAAATCGGGATTAGTAACCTAAGTATGGCTCAAATTAGAAGTGTTTTCACTTACAAGGAGTTACCACGGCTACAAAATAAACTCACCACAATGCTTTGAACTTCAATACAGATGATTATATTGTCATTTGATGCAATACTCCCTATACAATCCTCCAACCCTGCCCTAACTTTGACAGTCACACACAGAGATACAAACATGTCGACTGGAAGGTTTAGGGAATGCACAGACAATATGAATCTCCAATGACCTAATTATTCAGTCCTAAGAAGGTGCCCAAACTAGGCCGTAACCACATTATGCAATCGACAAACCCAAGATGTACTCACTTTTGATAAGTAGAACCAACAACCTGAAGACCTGCTGTGTCAGCTAGCTGAGCCAACTCTTTCAGAGATTCTTCTATTCCAAAAGATTCCACTTTAACACCTTTTTGCTCCACACCCACAAGATAAGCTTTTTCAGCAAGAACCTGACATTACAATATTAGGCCACTTAACTTATTCTCCCAAGAACCTCAAGCAATCACATAAATAAGACAAGAATCAATCAATAACAGTATAACACAAACTAAAAAATGCTTAGCAACAAGTTGGGTATTCTTTTCTGCATGGTTAACATACCAACCAGAACCACCTAAAGCATCAGAAAAAAGTGATCCTATGCTCAACCTCAACAGAAAGCTATATATGCATATAATATCATTCTCCCTCCGTTTTAAATACTTGTTCCATTTCTATTGGACACGCATGCCGATGCTAATCTTTGATCACTTATATCTTTAATTACCAATAAGTATAAATTCTAACAATTGAAAATTAATAATCTATTCATTGAGATGATTCCAACAAGTACCCACAAGACTATATTTTTCCTTATGTATAAATCACAAACATTAGCCAAAGTAGGACAAATGAATAGTGCAAAAAATAGAAATGGAGCAAGTATTTAAAAACAGAGGGAGTAATACATCATCACCCCGATTCCTCTTATGAGTTGCTTTCTACTAATTTGTTAGGAGGTTCTATTAAAGGTGATTATGAATTATGATGAACCCTAAATTTGATCATCAAACTAATAACCAAACCCCCTCCCACCTCTCACTAACAAACCTTAAACACCCATCCCTAGTTCTCTGCCATGCATCACCATAGAAATTCTACATACAGATGGTACCCTTGATGCATTGTTGCATACTATTAGTACTTACATAAAATTGGTAATATTAACACTCATAATTCTTACATTAGCTATGGTTCAATAGTCCATGGCCATTACGTTACGTTACAAACTACAAAGGACAATAATGTAAACGAGATTCAATAATAGGGCTTGGGTTTCACCCCAAGACCTTATATACATGTTACACTGCAAAAATAAGCACTCCACACCCCTAATTCCAAAAACCAATTCAAAATAAAAACATGTAAAGAACTAAAGGGACAAAAATAACTCATCAAATTCATAACTTAAACATTCAATTAAATATCAAATCAAAAGTATAATAAACAACAGAATAAGAAAAGGGAATGACCTCCTTTCCATTTCTGAGCTTAAAGCGACGTTCTTCCTCCTCTGCCTCTTCTTGTTCCCTCTTACTCTCTCCATTAACAGAAAATGGAACTGGGTCTTCAAAATCATCCTCAAAATCACTAATTACCTCCTCAATTTCTCCAGTTTCTTGTTCATCTGGGGTAACAGGAGAGAGAATCTGATCCACACCATGATTAATTTGGAGGGAATTCACACAAATTAAATTCTTGGGGTTCTTATGTTGATGGGATTCTAAGTAATTTCTTGAATTTAAAGTAGATTTTTGAAATGGGAAGGATTGAAATTGAAGTGGGCACAAATAATGGGATTGAGAATTTTGAAAAGAAGATGAAGATGATGATGAAGTTTTGGTGCTAATTATCCAACAGAAGCTGCTTGAACTCATCTCTTACTGATTATATTTTGCAATGGATAATGCAACCTTTTTTTGTGTGTGTTTTAGATATTCATACTTGGTGAGTTTGGTCTTGGTCTCTTGGGTCGGTTGAAATAAAATTAGCAAATGATTTATGTATTAATCTTTATTTTATTTGCTTTTTCCCTATTTTACCCTAATTTTTTAAGAACAAAAACAAATACGGATGTATTATATATTTATATGGAATACGTAGTACTTATGTATTGTTATGTCACTAAAAGTTTTTCTCTATTTTTTTTTAGATCGTTCTTAAAAGATTGTCTCATATCATAAATTTTAATGGAGAATTAAAAACTTTTACTCTCACAAGATGATCCCACCAATTTTCTTTGTCATAAATTTCACTTGACTAAAATCTATGAGTATTCAAGTAAAATCAATTATAGGAAAACAATTAATATTGAGGGGATATATAGTATGAGATAAATATTAATGAATTTGAGTATTTGATAAGGAAATTGGGATGAAATAGCATAAATTGCAAAGTGATTTTCATCAACCTATCAACATAAGCAAAATTTGTCTAGGGTTTTAGCTTTTAGGTCGAAATAGTTTAACTCATTTGTAAATTGAAATATTTGTGACCTTTATTAATTTAAGGATTTTTTGTAAATTACCACCCCAAAATGCACCATGTATTGAAATAACCACCCATATTTTACAAAAAATGTAGATTTTACCACCCGACCTATACTCCGACCAGTTTTTCGAGTATGGGCCCCACATAACGGCTGTTTTTTTTATTTTTATAAAAGTTGTTTCTCGATTTATTTCCTCCCTTGTTTCACAAACTACTCCCAAACTTAAAATTCATCATTTTTTCCACAAATTCTACCAATTTTTACTCCAAGTTTTGCAAATTGACAAGCGAATCCTTTGAAGAATGCACTTAAATTTTTTTTTTACACCAATTTGTACAGCAAGGTAATTGAAGATCGCACTTAATTTTTATTTTTATTTTTTTAGTTATTTTGCAATGTTTTAATGAAGTAGAATTCAAGTTATACGATATTTTTTGTTTGTAATGTGTTTTATTAGGAATTTAATGATGTAATCATTGTTTGATTCATTCAATTTTACTTGAATTGAAAATTAGGGTTCTTCATAATGAAATTGTGGGGCACATGCTCGGAAAACTAGCCGGAGTATAGGTAGGGGGTGGTAAAACCTACAGTTTTGTAAAATATGGGTGGTTATTTTTAATTTCAACAAAAATGAGTGGTTATTTCAACAAATGTTAAGTTTTAGGGTGGTAAGTTACAAAAAATCCTTAATTTAACTTAGTTTTTAACTTTTAAAGTTGATAAATCTACCCAGTATAAATAGTAGTTTTTCGTTTGTCTCCATATGATAGAGTTGGTCTCGGTCTGTTAAGTAATTTGTTTCAAATACAATTTTTGTAATACAATCTTCTCAAAAATATCTTATGCCAACATATCCTTCATGAATAACATGATAGAATACACTAGTAGCTTTTGCTTCTGCATAAAACCATGCATGGCCATTTCAAGCCCAATAAAACAAAACATCATCTCATTGATCTTCTAATCTAATAAAGAGCCTAAGTTGTAGTCTCCAACACTTAATATGATTTAAAGGCCTTTTCTGATTTCCTGAACTGAGTTGAGCTAAATTGAACTGATTGGAGCTGAACTGAACTGAATTGAACTAAATATTATGAGAGAGGAAAATTAGAAACTGAACTAAACTGAACTAATTAGAGCTAAATTGAAATTAAGCTGAAGAGAATAGGCCCTAAAAGGCTATGGATTTGAGATGCATAGTTCTTAATAAACACCCTCAATTCCCCAAATTTTGATAGGTTGAAGTTAATAAGATAGAGTGCACGCAAGAGTAAAATGATGGTTATTTGCTATTTATGGTATGAGACATACTCGATAAGACACCGAAAAAGAAATGAGAGATAATCTTAATTGGACGGAAGAAGTAGCAAACTTTGGTGCTATAATAATCATACACGTTGAGAGTCTTTTTGATGTAATAATTAACGAGGACCAACTTCCACAATTATTTGAAGCATCAATTCGTAGGATGTCCATATATTATCTATCCATATCACCCCAAATCTTGTTGGTGCCTGCAGCCGTAGGTCAAGTGCAATATGTAGACCCATTTCCACAGCTCACATGCCCATAGTCTTCCTACTTTAAGGACCCATACTGACCCTACCTTGTTTTAAAGGTTCATCAATCATCAAACCCTTTTGACTTGGGCGTGCAATTAACGGCTAACTATTATCCAAACCGTCTAACTATCGAATGGTCTTATGGTCGGGTTCACTTAAACCCGTATTGGTCAACATAGTTCCGCCCCTGCTTCATGGTTGATATCTAGATAGTATTTCGAAGAAGAGCATTTTGCTTTAGATGAATTCATAAGAAAGTTTGCATGAAATGAATTCAGGACTACAAGCTTCATTCACTCTTAAGATTAACTACAAAACTAGAAGATTAGTACAAAAATCGATCGAATCACATGAAGAAGATCAATATGCTCTAATTTCAGCTAAACTAATGCATCTAATAATGTACTACATACATTTACAAAATGAAGATTTTACTTGGCATAAAACTAACCAATTTCAAGTTCATTTATAACAAATCATCATCTCATTGATCTTCTGTTTTATCAATCTGACCTTCCCCTGAAGAATCTACTGAAGAATCCCCAAATTCTTCTTTGTACATTTCTTCAATCATTGGCTTCCACAATCTTACTCTTGCATTAATAAACCAATTCGAAACCTACATAACACAACATAAACCCATCAGCATAAACTCATAAAGGTATTAGTTACATACTCGAATTTGACAAATCGAAAAACGAATTCTTTTACTTGATTCTTTGTAAGGCCAGTTTGTGATGCCAATGTTAGCTTCTCTGAGTCATTTGGGTATCTGCAGAAACAAACAGTTTCCTAAGTAACATCATCATACATGATTCAATTTGAGGAGTTTTCCCGAAATCTAACAATACATGTTACATATCACATGAAAGACAAAGTAGACTAGTAATGGACTTACGGATGAAGGAAATGCTCGAACAGCCAAGCACGTAAAATGGCCACCGAGGTCTCAGGAAGTCCTCGAATAGGCCGCCATGCTTGTCGATGAGTTCCTTGTATGAGCCCAATCTGTTGGAGAGACATCCTGCTATTGCTATTCCGACCATCTCGATCTAGTAAACTTAAATGGGACAACCCACTTCCAATCTTTGGTAAATCAGGTGAAATTTTTTTCCTAATAATCTTAATTTGGGTTACTATGGCATCTCTTAGGCTACAAAAATGCCTAGACATTGCCTGAAAGGCTAATGCAGTGTAACATTTCGCAGCGCCGTCTCCTGCAATCATCTCAAATGATGAAATCAAATCTTCCATCCTTTGAAAATACTCATCATATCTCACTTCAACCTAGAACATTACAAAATCAATCAAAATTCAGCATATTATAATATCTGTAACACATATATTTGGCAAAATTCAGTAAAATACAGCATTATAACATACTGTATTATGCTTCAGAAACTGTCAGAACTACCAACCTGTTCTAGTAAAGTAATAAGCTTGGAAAAATTGATTTGGAGGTCATGTTTATCAGCTGATAAAAACCCATTACTCATCAATTCAGCTCTTAATTCAGAACAGAGTCCTCTGCTACACATAAACAACCTCTTTACATTGTTTAATTCGATGTCTTTGCTCCCGAGATCGATTACCTCTTCGAGTATTGATTGTGCAGGCTTCAGATACATCGAATTACTGACAGAATATGTAGTAAAAGAGGAATTTCCCATGAAAGAATAGTCCCCTGGGTTACAATTTTCTTGATCACCAGAAGAACTAACTAAATTACTGTAAGCCTGTTGCATAAGCTCTGAAGTAAAGGTTCTTTGCCTGTATTGAGGACTATGAAGCACTTGAGAACCGAGCGAAAGCGAAAGCCTATTCGGGCCCTGGTTGGCCTCATTTGAAGCTCCAAGAAGGTCCATGAGATGCCTAGTATGACCCATATCAGAATGATCATCAGGGTGTACAACTACTGATGAATGATCATGAACAAGATTAATTGACCTTGACATTCTTTCTTCGAGAGATTGAATCGTTGGAAAATGGGTATTACCAAGAGATTGATGATCTGAAAATGGGTTACTTGAATTGACCCTTATAATATCAGAATTATAAGAATCATCAAAATGTGGGTTCTGATCATATTTATCAAAAAGGGGTTGAGAAGAAATTGGGTTTGAGATTAAAAAGTGGTGTAAACTACTTGATGAAGTAGGGTTTGTTTGTGTTTCTTGTGAAACCATATTTTTAACTCCCCACAAAAAAAAAAAGTGAGTTTTTTTAGCAATTTTATTTAAAGTGATATACAGTTTTCATACAAGAGAATTGCTAAAAACATCAAAATGTCAGCTTCATGAAAGATTCTACAAGGAAAGAACCAAATCTGAAGAGCAAAAATTGGAAGGAAGAAGAGAAGCTGATCATAAGTGGGAATCTAACTTTGCCCACTTTTGTTTTGTGGGGTCTCAAATAAAAATTCTCCTTTTTTTGGGATTTTTGAGAATTTTGGGAATAGATTAAACTGTAATAAATAAGGGTTTAAGAAAAAGCTAATTTTGATTTTCATCCAAAAAATTAAAAACTAGAATGAAAATGACATGAAAATAGTTGGATGAATGATAATAAGTTGTAACAAAAGATGATCTAATGGGTAAGACCCTAAAGATATCATCAGAGAAGAAACTGTACTAAAACCTGCAATAGTAAGCAGCAGACAGTTGGAATAGTGAACAGTCAAGTAAGAAACATCAACAATAATACAGTATGCAACAAATAATTATAAAAAGAAAAGTACAAGTACCAAAATCTAAACCCCCATTAATAAATACTCATATAAAAAGTGCAACAACTAATCAATTTTTACAATAAATACTTCAATAGCTATCAGAAAACAGATGAATTTCTGAAACAAAGGGCATTAATAAGTTTCAATGAATGTTGTTCACAAAACAAGGAATTTCCTGTCAGTTTTAACTAAAACCCTGAATTTTTTATGTAACACCTTTAAAATGGTAAAACAAAATCTAGAATTAAATCAAACTTCATTAGTATTAGTATGATTGTTATGCAAGAACATACCTTTAGGGTTCTTAACAGCAAAAGACACAATCTTTTTCTCTCTCCTTGGATAAACACTCTTACAAACCATAACAAAGAAAGAAGCTTTTTATACAAGGGATTAAATTTTTAATTTTTATATATAATAAAAAGTTTTTTAAAAAAAAGCTAAGAAAATAGACCTGTACAAGTTCTCTAAAAAAGCAAAGCTAAAAAAACTAGACCAAGTGGAAAAATAAAGAAAATTGACAATGACAGATAAAAGAAAAGTCCCTAATTTTAATTTTAATATAATTAATCTTTTTTTTTTTACTGACTACAAAAAAACAAGGGATCCTGCTTCTGCTGCTGCATATTCATTATTCACAGCCCCTGCAATTTCATTTCTTTGGGAGACTCAAAAGCAAAAACTCTGTTTTCTCTCTCTCTCTCTCTCTCTTTTTTTTTTTTTTCTGTGTTTCTCTCTCTAGCCCAAATAATAGTGCATGAAAAAGATTGTTTTTTTTTTTTTTTTTCTTCAGTTTTTTGGAGTTTTTCATTTCAATTACATTGAATTTTAGTAGTAGTACCATCTTTATTCTATGAAACAGGGAAAGAGAGAAAAAAAAAGTAGGCTATCTTTTAACACACTCAAAATTAATAGCCTTTTAGATTGTCTGCTTATGTGAGTCTGTACCCTCCTCTTAGAATATCCTACTACTTTAATTTTGGTTTAGCTTGGATAACACATGCAATTGATGCATTCATGAAGATGGTAATAAATCAGAGTTTTGGTAATTATGTGTATTTTGTAAAAAGTATATTGTGTCATTATGATAACCATTTATCTATTGTGAAGGAATAGTCTCTCTTCCTTAATATATTTGATTAAAGATTGTATACTCCGGTAAGTAACTTCACTGAATTACGAGTGTGAAATAAAAATACATTTGAAGTATTCATGTAACATAGTGATGAAATACGACGTAACCTTTACCAAAAAAAGATTAAAAAAAACTCTCCCCATCATTAAGTGTTATACTATAAAGTTTAATAATGTCTTACATAATCCAAACGACTATAAATAGCAACATCTTTTTTTTTTCTTCGCCTTTCGGCATTGCAATAGTCTTTAGTACATGCTAATTATATGCAATTACAAAAACTTACTAAAGTACATTAGGCTCTTGAAATCCAAAGATAAACACCCCAAAAGAACAATTATTATTTTGCTAATCATACCAGAAAATAAAAAAAAAACAAATCATAAAAACACAATAATAATAGAGTAAGAATCTTAAGGTGAAGAAAGAGAGAGATTGGTTGGTTACAATAGGGAAGATGGCATAGATTCTAGATTTGTTTCTAGGTAAGATGGTAGGGGAGTCTGGTACTCTGCTAGGAACTTGTTTTTGTAATCATTACCATTTTTGTTCATATTCCTCTAATCCAGTTGTCACTCTCTTAATACACACAAATTCTTTTTTATTTTTTTTGGTTTTCATGAAATAAAGGGTCCCACAATTCCCTGATTAAAGAAGGGTAGATTCTTTGCATAAAATTATAAACAATGTTTCATCATAAAAAAAATCCAAAATTTATTTATTCTTACATATCTGAATTTCTGAATCAAAAACATTCTTACTCAAATCTGATGATAATTTTGCATTGTATTGGTAAAAGTAAAATCTGGGTTAAAAAAATATGTTTGTTTGACAGATTTTTTACCCCTATGAAACTTTCTGAAAATTTGGGCTGCTGCTGTAAAATTCTGGTGAAACTGAATCCCTAAGCAGATACTGCTTTAACAGCATTACTGCTATAATTTATGTTACAGATACTGCAGTATCTAAAAATTTCAAAATTTATTTTCTTAATCAATGTATTTAATCAATTAATTATACAAGAATAAAAAAATTCAGAGTAACTATATTTATATACTCTAATTTTTTTATATTTTTTTTTTATACTTTTAATGTTCTGTTTGTTTGGACCAAAATGTCACACAAAAATTACATGAATAATCCCTATCTTGTACAAATATATGCTATTTTCTCCAACCCAGTATCTATATTACATATTACATCTGGGAAATCTACAACAATATATTCAAATGAAATTTACACAACTCCTTGCTGTTTTTCCCACTCTGCAGGCCTGCTTGAATTTCACAATTGCGCAGTCGGCGTTGTAAGAACAGCAGGAGAGGAAGAATAAAATGCAGTATTGCTATTGCTAAGGTTTAGTATATGGTCTAACCCCAGTTTATTCATATAGAGATTGTAGAGAAGTATGCATAGAAAGGTTTGTTTTTTTTTTTTGGACTTTTTTTTTCTTTATTTAGGCTACAAAATCATTTAGGATGTGTGATGGGTTACCAAACCTGTGTTGCTGGTTTACTTGCTCAAGGTATGGATTATAGTCCGAGGTGGAGACTCCCATAGTAGCATCTGTATTTGTGTTACCCCGGAATGTGACATCGCCTTCACGATGTCGCAAGCCTAAGGCTAGGGATACTTGGTTGTCTACATTAAAGTTGCCTAACTCGGACATTTGGTAAGCAGCAGGATTGGCCATGAGATGTGGATGCCCATGCCCTCCACCATTAGGGTCCGGAGAGGAAAGAATCCCATTATTACTGTAAAACCCGTGATTGTCATTATTAGCACCAATACCTTGGTTGACATTGATCTTCGAATCATGAGCATCGTGGACTATTGATGTTGAGCTTTCTTGCATTTCCTCTCTTCTGTCTTCAGATCCCCAAGACTTCTCCCTTGCTAATTTCGGCGTGTTTTCTGGTGAAGATTTTGAATTCAATAATTCTGCTTCTCCGAATTCTTCTTTGTACATTTCCTCAACCATTGGCTTCCAAAGACGTACACGTGCATTGATAAACCAATTTGCAACCTACAAGATCAACAGCAACAAAATATCAGTTTAAGTTGTGCAGTAATAAGATTTTTCCTCACAGTTTGCATTTAGACTCCTACATTAATATGAAACCTACTTTACTTAGAAAAAACAACTAATAAGCCCTGTTAAAAAAAAAGGTAAAGATTTCTCCATTCCAATTCAAGTTTATCACATTCGAATCAAGGAGTTAGTTTTCAAAAATAAAAAAACCAGTTAACCAACTTTCAGCTTTCAGCGGGTATAAGACAACTATAAAGTATTTTATTTATATGGACTCATCATATCACCTTAAGTACCCATGTGGATACTTGACGCTCCAAGCCTCCACCATGGGTATGGACAGGCGAAGATTTCAATTTTCGCCAAAAATATACTTCGTACATACTTCAGACTAATGATACATCTGAGAGTGAATAGGCATCTTTAGGTAGTTTGGGGATGGGGATGGGGGAGGGGGTGATGGGATGGGGAAGAGAAAGAGGCGGGAATGGATCTTCGAATCCAATTTCTCTGTTGTACAACCTTCTAAAGAGAGATTTTCAAAACAATAAAAACGATAATTCTATTAGCTTTCATTGGAATTACCTGACTTCTAGTCAATCCTGTCTGTCTAGCCAGCATAATCTTCTCCGAATCCTTTGGATATCTGTTAAACATAGATTTAAAACATGAGCTTGAATTCACCTTTCATTAACAGAACTCGTAAAAGTGTAAAGAGGAAGTGAACATACGGATGGAGGAAGTGCTCAAAAAGCCAAGCACGAAGAATTGTCACAGCACTTTCAGGAAGTCCCCTCTGAGGCCTCCATGCATGGCGCATCATACCAAATTGTTGAAGGGCTCTCTGTTGCCTGAGTTGTTGATCCACATAGCGAAGACGAGGAATTACTCCAAGACCATTGTCTTGCTCTCCAAGGCTTTTTCGGGTTGCTTGAATTTGGTTAGTTATGGCATCACGCAGGCATCGGAAATGGCGAGAAATTGTTTTAAGGGCCAGTGCTGTGTAAGGCTTGGCTGCCCCAACCCCGGCTACCACATCAAAAGATGACACCAGGAGTTGCATCTGTTGACAATATTGTTTGTATCTTCTGTCTACCTGCAATCAGAGGCACACATGATATATATTATAATTCGATTCAGCTCATTTACCATTCAATTACTTATAAGGACACATAAAAATGATTCCCAAAGTAGATTACATAACATTGCACCATCCTTCCAAGTGCTACTATCAGTCATTGACAAGCAGAACAATCGCGAACAGCTTACTACACTATGTCAGCTTCAAAAGTAATGCAAATGTAAATGCAAGCAAACCTATCTGAATTCCCAACCCGGAGACCCAACAGTTCTAAACGCGAAGCTGAAAGCTTTATTGACATGCATCAAAGGGACACTTTCACTAAGAATGACAGCAGAAGTTGGAAATTTATTCAGTGCTTTTAAAGCATGTGACAATCTATTTAACTTCATTATCATCTCATACCACATAATCATTGATCAAATGAAAATCAACTATTTCCTCAAAATACAAGATTTTGGCTACTTCTTGCCCGCTATCAAACTCCAAGCAAAGCACACCACAAAGTAGATCACCCACCACACTGCATACACACTACATTTAAAAAAAAAAAAAAAAAAAAAAAAAAAAGACTATACTTGTGTAACAGCTTATCAACTCCTCTGTTTCATTCCCCATCAAGCCTTAAGCCACATGTATCTCATTTCCCAAAATGGCTTTCATTAGATACCGACACTTCCAAATAGCTGTTTCCATGGTTCTACCTAATAGCTTTGCTACAGCAGAGCTAAGAGAATCGAAATTTATACTCATGATTACTTTCAACAACCAAACAACACATCAATCAGCATCAGCTATATGGAAGAACCTCAAGCAACAGATTATAACGTAAGGCAGCCTCTAATCTTTCAATCAGCTAATTTCCCCAACTAATTCGATACCTCCTCTTCACCTGATCACCAACACTTTCGTCTACAGCTCTGTCAATGTCTCCAAAACATCATAATTTTCTCAAGGATTGTTCAAGATATACCACTTATGATCAAGAACAAGGTATAGTAATCCATAATATGCAATTTAGAAATCAGGACAATGCATTGACATATTACCAACCAAGAACACACAGGAATAGACAATTCAGAATCTTATTGACAGTAAAATAAAGCAATACAATGATATCATACCTCATCCAACATGGAATGAAGCTTATCCAACTTGTTCTGCAATTCTTGTCTCTCAGCAGGAGATAGCTCCACCGTGGATCCAGACTCATTAGCTTCTGAGGCGGCTTGTGATCCGCCTTTAGACTCCTTGGAACTTTCATCTACCTTGCTTGTGTTTTGTTCTTTACCAGAATCAGATCGCTTAAGAGCTTCCCTGACATTAACTACTTCATCCAGCAACTGTTGTGCAGCCTTAAGGTACTTAGACTTCACAAGTGTGTTAGCCATTCCAGCCTGCTCATACTGATATTGATTACAATTCATTGCTTTCGCGTTCATTGAATATTGAGGATTGTTCAGAGCCCCAAACCTAATATTATTATGTCCATCTCCTTGCAATTCATAAGGAAAAAAGTCAGAATTTCTCATATCCTTGTTTGGGGAAGCCTCATCAACCTTACAGGCCATTGGCCTAACATTATTCTCAGCCGAAAAGGGAAGGTGAGGGCTTAGGACAGAGGAGAGTCCTGGATTGGAATACTGATACTGCTGAAACTGAGATGTTGAAACCGCGGTTGACATCTGTGTGCTAAGGCTAAGCGATAGTCCTTGCAAATTCTGCTCACCATCTACCATATTTATCTGACTCCTAGATGTCAATTGAAGTTCCCCTGGCATAGAATTACCGACGTTTTCACCTCCTCCTGAGTTAAGTGTCCCGCTCATGGGCTGCATACACATCGAATCCCCGGTAGGTGGGATAAACATCATCTCATTTCTCCCATTCATGGCAGGCATCTCAACACCATTTTGTGGATTCATTGAAGAACCAGGCGAAATCTCAGAGAACGAACCGGGTGAAGAAGATGTAAGATACATCATCATGTTCCCATGGAGAAGAGGTGACTCAGAGTATGATGCAAACTTTTGGTCCCGGACATACGGCGCTGACAGGACATCAAGCTGAGCACTAGAACTGGGGTAATAAGTGGCCATTTTTGGGAAGGATTCCTATCACTTTTACTCAAAAAGTTGCAATACACAAGCACAATTCCAACAGTAGAACATCAGCAGAAATCCTCATATGTCATATGATCAAAGTTCATGGACCAGTAACAACCACCTATGATAAGATCAAAATCACTAAATAAATAAGTCCAATCTGACAAAGCAATTCACCTTTTATGTTTTTACTCATCATCATCATCATCAAAATCTTTGTAACCCAATAATTATTAATCAGCAAAAAGGAATAATATCATACATATTCTAGAATCATCTAAGATATGATCAACATACTTACAATAATAATTTCAAGATAAAGAATCAAAATTTAAACTTAAACAGAAATTAATAAAAATTTACAGAAACCCTATTCTGAAAATGTAAAAATAGACTAATAACTGAAATATAACACTCTAAATTACAATCAGCTGAAATTAGTGTTCTTGATAGTTCTTCATCACTAAGCTAAAACTAGTCAAACCCAGAATAGAAATTCAGCAACATGAACTATTATCAATCAAAGTGCATCATCAAAACCATGGTTAAATAAAATAAAAAAGCATTAAATTTATAAGTGAAAAAAATATATAATTACACTCAAAAGCTAGGAAATTATAATTGAGGTATACCTTAAAGAACCCCAAAGAGTTTGTGCCTTAATAAGGGAACAAAGAAGCTTAAAATTGCAAAAAAGCATAAAAACCTTATACACTAAAGACAAACTGATCCCAAGAGATTTTGCAAACAATAAACCAACCCACCCTTGAAACCCTTTTCAATCAAAAAAACAATGACACACCCAATTAGAATAATATACTTACTACAACCAACAAACTATATATTATAAAATTAATAAAAATATTTAATACAAATAATAATTAAATTAAAAAAAAAAGATTGAATTTTTCCTACCCAAATAAAATAATGAGTGGCTAAGATAGAGAGAGAGAAAAGAAAGTAGAGAGAGAAGGGAGTTAAGTACAACCTTCTATTTCTTGATTAATAAACAAAAGGAAATGAATTGGTAAAAATTTAATCTTTAATTAATAATCTCTCACAATCAATCCTATTCTCACCATTGGCACGTGTGAGAGTAAGAAATTTAGCACCAAAAAGATGTAAACTTTGAAGGGATTGAGAGTAGTTGTTGTTGCTGTTGCTGCTAATAGTTGTTGGTAACCTCCTCTGTTTTTTTTCTCTCTCTACTTTCTCTCTCTAAAAATCTACAATATTTGGGGTTTAAGGAAGAGCTAACTACCAGTTGGTAGACCTAAACACTGTCTTAAACCTCATTCAAAAGCATACCCACTTTCTCTCTCTACACTTTCTCTCTCTAGTTGCAGAGGATTTTTTTTTTTTTTTTGAGGATTAAATTGAAGAAGAAGCTCTGTTTTCTGTGGTCATGGTCATTTTTGTCCCTTGAAAAAAAATCAATAAAGTTTTAATCTTTTTTAGAAAATAAAAATAACCCATTTCATAAAAAACAAAAATACAAATAACCCATTTCATAAAATATAAAAACAATAAAAATTTTAAAAAAAAACCAGAAATTATTTTCTAGATTTTATTTTTTAAAAAAAAATACAAATGGACAATTGTGATAAGGGGGAATAAAATAATTGGAAGGGTTAGCTTTAGAGATAGCTGCATACTATTCGTAGGAGTGAGTAGGTGACAGTGACAACATCACACGTTTTAACGTATACAAAGCGATTCCTAAGTATATACGCCTCCAAAAATTAATTTTATAAAATATGAATACATATTTTATTAAATAAATACAAGTATAAAATTTCAATTTTTAATATTATGAGGAATTTATTTTGCTTGTTTGTTGGGTGTATTCATTATTCAATTCATATTTCCGGCTTGGTTGGTAATTTGGTATCCACAAAAATTATTCGCCCCCTCAATTATTGAATTCAATTGCCTTGTTGAACCAAATAAATGCTGACAGAAGATGTTTTATATTTTTGGGTTTTTGAACAATTTTTAGATTGGAGTAGTAGCTAAGTAATAATATAATAGTACGAGTATTAAAATTATATTAAAAATTGCGTATGCATTTTGGTGTATAGGAAGCCATAAAAGAGAAATAAATGCTTTTAAAAAAAATTAATACGAGTTCAATACCTAATTATTTTTTATAAAAAATTTAGTAGTATTTGAGTAGCGCCTAAAATAAATCGTATCCGTTAGTGTGAATAAGAAAAGGCATGTTGATTGGCAAGTAAAACCAATAATGAAACTCCAAACTGAGATGAAAAGAGAAAGAAAAGTTTTTTCAAATAATGAGTGAATTCTAGAGAAAAAGAAGATAATCAAGGTATACTTTTAATGGGCCTAGCTAGGTGGGGGTAAAAAAAAAGGAATGGGTTAGATAAAAGTTGGTGGAATTCCAAAAATAGTTTACAACAAAAAGGTTGGTTCCATTAAAAATAAAATAAAAAATAAATAAAATAAAATTTAAAAAAGTAAGAAAAAAGGGTTGGTTAATGCTTGTGCATGAATTTGGATTGTTAAAGTTGTGCTTTCCATCATTTGTGAAGATAGTCGGTTGTACTTGAGAAATCATCTGTTGCAGTTGACCAATTATAGTACTCATTGGTTCATGACCAAGAGGTGTTAACTTAGATTGTAATTCAATTGTTTAACCTCCTAATTACTAAACTTTGTAAGTTGTGTTTATCATGTATAATTAGGTGCTTTTTTGATATACAAGTATTCAATTGAATATATATGTATGCTAACTACATTCTTATTTAAGCCACATATGTAGAATTTAATTAAATATGATGTACTTCCTAGTTCATTGTTATTATTATGGAAAGTTAATAGTTTGATATTACACATTGAGGTTAATCTAGCAAGATCTCACTTTTTACACGATACACAAATGAAAATTAGATCTATGCACGCATCTCTTACATATGTCAATGAATATAGGAAGCTAATATTAGAGAAAATTTGTCCCGTCAAAAAAAAATATTAGAGAAAATTTGTCAATAAAAAATGGTCTTAATTTATGTTAATGAATGTATAGATAATAATAAATAAATAAATAAATCAATAAAGTGTTTTTTTTTGTTTCAAAAATAAATAAATAAAGTGTTTTTGGATGATAAATCATTAGTTATATATGGAGTAGCAAACTCCAAAATTCCCAAGAGCTTGATAAATTTGATATATATAGTATGAACAAGAGAATTCTCAATAATGTAACGCAATTACGCAATTAGAAAGAAATGTTTATTTTTTTTTCCTAAAATAAAAATATATAACGAAAAAGTCACAAATTAATAATAATATAGATGGAACACGATCATCCCAATCTTTGATTTGCTACAACTTTAACAAACTTAAATGACATCCACTAAAAGAATTGTTAATGATTAGAATTTAAGTGTCAATAACTACATTGAAAAGAGATGATAAAATGAGGTAAACCTAATTATTAAGTAAACTTTCCTTAAGTAACTAATTCCTTACACCAATCCTAGAAAAGAGGAAAAAAAATCCCGACATGAGGTGAGTGGATCGAATGTCTGGAGTTGCTTGATGTAATTAGGTCAACAACATTTAGTGAAGTACAAGTTGAGCTATTTTGTTCAAATAAAGGGCTTGATGTACGTAATGCATGCATACTCTTTATAACGATCTTGTTGTCAATTAGAAGTTGCTTGCATGGCTAATTTTTAAAAATGAAATTCTTTAAAAAATAGCGTCATGAGAAACTACACTTGTATAACGACCTTGTTTAATCCATAAATTTATATTATACTAGTTTTGTAACTTGCGATGCACGGGTTGTTTATTGAATTTTAAGATAAAGTTATAGTTCGAGTTAACTCATAACCAGACCTAACAGGTCTATATAGTAATAAAATTTTATTAGATTGTGAAGTATATATGTTATTTTAATTCGATTAGTACATATTATAAATGAATGATTTACGCTTTGAACTACTTCATTTGTTCCAAAAAATATTATGATACACAAAAAAAAATTATATGATAATTTTATAGAATTATAATCTAATAATTTTTTTTGAATAAAATTATAATTCAATTTGTACGTCTGAAGTATTGGTATTTTATCGAAAATAAAACTCTAAACCAACAATTTTATCCTAAAATTCTATCTTATAAAGTCTATTTAAATCTATCCAACGTGGCACGACACTTGGCGAAAAGTTAGAACGCCAAGTGTCGCTGCCTCGTGACCTGACTAAAAGTTTAGCTTTATATATTAGTTATATGATTGTTTCACATACTCGTCTAACACAATTTTAACACTTACTTTGTACAATTTTTCTAAGTTTAATTGAGCTATTTTAGTAACTTATCTTGACATTTTGTACTCCGTAATACATACTTATAGAAAATACAGCACAAAAAGGTATTATGACAATAGCAAAAGCTAATTTATTGAGACAAAATCACCGGTATACTCCGTAATACGTAGTATATAAGAGCCAACACAATTATTTGTAATAGATATAAAAGAAGAGATATGATTCCTAATCAAAAAGTAATAATAACTATCAAAGTCTCATCAATTATACTCCTTAATTAATCCCAAAATTAAATGACTCTAGGTGGCTAACCAAGAAAGACAACAAATAAATTTGCACAATCATTTTTTCTTAGCTACAAGTAAATCTTAGTGATGATACTATGTACCCTATCATTAGCCGACGTCTATAAATTCCATAGATTGCAAATTTAATGTAATAATAATAATACACTCATACAAAGGACAATGATTTTGAATTAGATGCAAATAAAATACACATATAAATTTATCTTTTAATTTAATTTAATTTATTTTTAAATACCACAAAATTGCTTACCTTTTACAAAAGAGTTTAAATGACTAAGAAAAAAACCTAAATCCTATTATTCCTAAAGTACAAAGCACCACTATATATATTATAATGAAAAATTACCAATTCTAATAGTGTTACTAAAAGTCCACAACATAGGATAATAATAATTAGATATAACATAATCTAAGGTAAAGTTGCTTTCATGCTCATAATTTGCATGTTTAGTTGCTATATGATGTTTCGCTTTCAAATGGGATATTTCCACATGTTAATAGTATTATTTTTTGCATTGTTTGTTGTTTTTGTAGTATATACCTTGGAGAATTTGTAACAAGGATAGATGACTGACAAAATTGTCATAAGTTTTATACTAAAATTTGGTCATAAAACCAAATATAAATATAAGTTTTTATGTACAGATGTACATTTGTGCTAAATTTCTGGCAGAATGTTCAGAATGTAATAAATGATGGTGGTTTATTTTAATGTTATGGAATTAATTAACTAGTTACTAAACAAACTTTATTATTAAACTCCGTAATAACTGTAATATGAAACTATTTGTTTCTCCTTTAGTAAAGCAAAAGGGATGTTGTACACTTGTATTCATGCCTTGATAGTTCCATCTTGGCATGTTAGCATGCATCGCTCTATGATTGCTCTCCTTCTTGTAGGTATTGATCGAGTGCGACTGATCTTGATGATGAGATGCGTAATAAATTATCTATAAATATTATTCACAATTTTGACTACGGAATGTATAATAAGTAATTTCTCGATAAAATAAGTCACTCTTAACATAATGTAATATAACCATCCCGACATGCTTACACTTAGCAACAAAGCATGTCACCTCAAGATGGTAATATCTAGAATTATATTCTAGGCTACTCTTCAAATATAACTACTAAAAAAAGATTGACTACGTATCAAAATTCTTAATTAAGGCATCATTTCATAGTAGACATCCATGCTAGGAGAGTCTTTAATCTTGTTTTAAAAATTGTGGAGCTTTAAGTTTCTTCTTACACTTAGAATAAGAAATAAATTAGTATGACATAATGTGACGATTTGAGTAGTTTAGAACAGCATTGTATGCACATTATATATACAAACAACAATAATGTTTCTATCAACTTTTGACCAAGTTAAAAGGGAAAAAAGTGTCTTCCCTTTATAGAGGATATCCTTTAGCATATAACTCAGTTGTCAATGGATGTTGTGCTCTTCATTCAATATTCATTGTCATAACATAATCTAAATATTCGAGTTAACTTATTTGTACTCATATATCATGATAAGTATACTCCCTCTGTTACATATTACTCGCAATAAAGGGGTATTATTTGTGAGACATAAAATATTAAATTATGAGAATAGCTTATAAGTTTGATATCTCTAGTTGTTTCATTCACTGATTTTGATTAAATAGTCGGTAGAAAAAAAAAATTATAATAAATAACAAATTACACATCTAAAGTAGCGAAATGAGTGGATGAATCAATTTCTCAATACAATCCTAATAACTGGAAGGTAAAGAGTTTGTCAAATACATGTCATCTTATCCTTATAGATAAACTAGGAATTCTCCTCCATAAATTTGTCTTAATTTCCCATCCCAACAATTATATATTCATGAATTTGATTT